CCCCCCAGGACTCACAGACCCAGGTGGCGGTCAGCTCTGTCCAGACCAACTTGCTGGTCATCATCCAGATCCTGCAGAGGAACTCTGGGAAGATGAAGGAGGAGGAGCGGGAGGGTCTGTGGTTCCCTCTGATGGAGGTCATGCTGGCACCGCAGAGGAAACATAGGGACAGTCTGACACAGGAGCAGATACAGGGTAAATATAGGGCTAAAACATAGTGACAGCCTCACACAGGAACAGATACAGGGTAAATATAGGGACTGTCTGACACAGGAGCAGATACAGGGTAAATATAGGGACTGTCTGACACAGGAGCAGATACAGTGTAAATACAGGGCTAAAACACAGGGGTAGCCTCACACAGGAGCAGATACAGGGTAAATACAGGGCTAAAACATAGGGATAGCCTCACACAGGAACAAATACAGGGTAAATACGGGGACAGTCTCACACAGGAACAGATACAGGGTAGATACAGGGCTAAAACATAGGGATAGATACAGGGTAAATGTAGGGTCTGTGGTTCCCCCATCTTCCTCTTTCTTGCATTACTAAATGGTAACGTTTAACAGTTACTGTAAAAGATTGAAAAATGAAAAAAAAATGTATTCTTGTTGACCCCTCAGCCTACAAGGACCTGACGAGACACGTGCTGAACAGCATGATGGGATACATCGCCCTGCCCTCCATCCTGCAGAAGATCATGCAGGACCCAGCCTACAACACCGGCAAGTTTGGGGAGATACGGGAACTACTGCTCGGGATGCTGGACACTTACAACTATGAACAGGTGGGGAGACTGGCTTTGATAGGCCTCAGATTCTCAATAGAGTGGGTGCAGTACTAGATAAGTGTCACTTTCCATCAATCTTTCCATCAACTGGCAGAATTTTGCCGCTCTTTAATGACAAAAATTTTGCCTAATCCATCATCTTTGATGGACAAAAGTCAGCAAGTAAAGATGTATTGAAAAAGATGTCATTAAAGTAAGCTTGGTCTACCAGCAAAATTTGCTCCTTATTACCCCATTTTAGGCTAGAACATAGGGATGTGGTAACATAGGAGCCTCTCAGAAGCGTCAACTGTTTTCCTCCAATGTCAGTCTTTACTGAAGAGTGCCCAAAATCACTACTGTATTTTCCATTTGAGTCAACTTTGTACACTCATACAGCTAACCTGGGTTCCATCCTGATTAGTTTACATCCACTCCCACAGTTGCTACTGACTGGTTGGTTGGTCTGTAGCCACTGTGGGAGCGGTTGTAAACTAACCAGGATGGAACCCAGGCTACACTACAGCTACATGTAAATAGTACACGCAGACACATCAACTGTTTTCCTGCCATGTTTCCCCAGACCTTACTGAAGACCACCAACAGCCTGTTGTCCCATGACCTGCACTGGTCCCTGTGTAACCTGAGGGCTGCTGTCAACAAAGGTCTGGTGCCCAAACAGGAGGACTGTGGGGTGTGTGGGCAACACTTCTCTGTCACAGAGGAGCAGGACTCAGTTATAGTCTTCAGGTAAGGGTTGTAATGTTCTTCCATATTATTGGATGTGAAGGGTGTATAAAATTGTATACACTTGATTTTAGAAGAGAAAAGGCACATGACATTGTACAAAGTCATGATAAATTCTGCAGCAATGTAGCTGAAACATTACATGTTTAACTGTTTTGTAAACAGTAGATGATACTGCAGATCTAATGTGATAAAATGCACATGGTAGAGTTAGTGATAGCATAGCTTTTGTTTGTTGAACTACATGTACAATACTAAATGTACATGTACAATAGATAAGTACAGATCTAGAGATAACATAGATATGATAGATTTAATGAGAGCATAGATATGCCTAACTGTTTTGTCTCTCCCCATTTACTATCAACACTACAGTTAATGATATTCCACATTTAGTATTTGATATACACTGTATAATTATTCATTACATGTATTGTAATAGTATAATACATCTGTTTCTTGCTTAGATCTAGCCAGTAACTTGATGATTCTGCCCCCCCCCTCCCCAGCTGTGGACATGCGTACCACACCTCGTGTCTCCAGTCGGTGGGCTGTTGTCACATGATCGAGGGGACGCCCCATTGGTCCTGCTCCCTGTGTAACGTGGCTCGTCGGGAGGCCAAGACAGGCCGGGGCAGAACGCTGTCATGGTCAAGTGCAACCGCAGCCAGCAAACAGGTGGGGACAGACAGTAAAGAGACTCTTTTTACACAACCAAGAGTTTTATTCACAGCTGACATTTCGGTGACCTTCCTCAGGGCAATTCTAACTGGTTCACATTGCATTGCAGCACAGGTGTCACTGCGATAGATGCATTCCCAAACGTACAATATTTACATACCTAGAAATATTACAATAACCAAAATTTAATGTTACAATAACCACGTATATGTGTAGATATATTGTACGTTTGGGAATGCATCTAGCAGCGACACCTGTGCTGCAGTGCAATGTGAACCAGTCAGAATGTGAACCAAACTGTCAAGTGAAGAAACAGGTGTTATGTTTTTTATTTTTCCATTTCAGGTTGAGCCCCTCCCATCAGGTGCTGTCAGTCAACCCCGTTCCCATGGCGATGCCCTGCTGTCCCCCCAACAGGAGCTGTCCTACTCACAGCTGCAGAAGTCCTTCAAAGGTTTCATTATCACTTGTCTCTCTCTTTATTCTCTTTATTCCGATACCCTTGAGCCAAAAGGCTAATCTTCCAGGGTTCATTCGAAAAAAGAAAGATACATACAACAAATGACATTGTAAAAACACACACATTTAACACAAAAAGAGATTTACATTACTAGTACATACAAATGAGGGAACATAATCTACAAACTAATCACAGAAGTCACACTTTTAGACAGTTGGCAGATAGCTTTCTTGGAGTTAGATCTACTGGTAAGTGATTTGATTTGTCTTCATTTGTCTAACTTTTCTTTTAGACTTCCGAAAAAAATTTTCTTCACTTAGGCCCGATTCACACGTGCGTTGTTTTTATGTGTCGGGCGTCGTTCGACGCGCGCGCGCGCAAGCTGTACGACACATTTTTCAATCGTATAAACAGGCCCGCCACCGCCGCGCGGCGCCTTGTGTCGTTTTTTCTGTGGCACCTTCAGGAGGTGCCACAAGTGCGTCGCGGAGCACAGCGGGATGTCTGCGGTGAGGAAAAACATCATGTAAACAGACCTGCGTTGCGCGCAGCTCGCGCAGCCCATTTCCGCATCACAGAAGGTCAAATTTCTTCATTCCCGCGCTAGCCTGAAACCCACGCCACGCTCCTCTGTTTGTATCTATTCATTCCACTTCTGTATCAATTTCTACTTGTTGTTAGTTGTTTCTTCGGATTATTTTGTACGGATTGTTTGCTATTAAAGCATTACTGCTTGTTTGCTGAGCATGGCAGCAGTCAACAGATCTAACTGGACCAGCGCTGAAACGCGCTGTTTGATCGGGCTGTGGAACTGTGACAGAATTCAGAGCAAAATGGAAACTTTCAGGAAGAAGGAGGCCTTCGGAGACATTGTCGAGGGCATGAAGCAGGAGGGATACAATAGGACCTCCAAACAAGTCCAGAAGAAGATAAGAGACCTCAAGTACTCGTACCGGAGAATCAGGGATTCGAACAGTCGTAGCGGCAGGTCAGAGTTCACCACATGTGACACAGCGCGACGCAGACCGCCACAGCCCGCCACATCTGCGGCGCGAAGCGGGAGCTGCGGTCCCTGTGTGTAAACGGGAAAGTGTCGTAGGCGACTTGGCGCGCGCGCGCGCGTCGAACGACGCCCGACACTTTTATTTTTCATCGTGTGAATCGGGCCTTATATGCATATCAATCAATAGTTCTTTCTTATAAACCTGAATTTCTGCACATTAAGTTCTCTAGTATCACTGATGAAAGGTAGTGGATGCTAGCTGAAACGTCTGAATGTTTCCAACATCATATCCAGTTGCTTGAGTAACTGTTTTTTGGCATATCTTATTACCTGGATGTCTAATCTTCACAATGTATCCTTCAAGGTCCTTCAAGACTGGCCATCCTGGCAGAGCTCAAGCGGGCGGCTAAGTATGAAGACTCCGGCAAGGCTCAAGATCAGAAGAAAATCTTCAGTAGTAGTTCCAGTATCTTACAGAATGAAAACTTTCAACTTAAAGTTGCTGCTCCTCCAGTTATAGAGTAGAAGTGTATCATACACGTGACAGTCAACAGTGAAAATGACAGATTTAAACCAGGAAAAATATTATTACAAGTTGAACATAAAGTTATGTTTTTGATTTTGTCATTTGATCAATGCTTATTTGTAGAGGTAGCATTCTCAGTACTCAGATATTTGGACAGTTTATGAATTAATTTGGTTGATGTTGTAAAATACATATTTATTTCAGAATGAGAAAGTTAAGAAGCGTACAATATGCTGTTCAAGTATGATATTGAATGTGATTGTAACACATTGTGTGATATTGACTTGTTAACTGATTAGCAGGACAGATGTCAGATTGTGTAGTTACCATACTTGGTCGACTTTTCCAATAGCAGAGGCATTTTGTCGTGATGGACAATAAACCAAATGAAATGTTAGCTCGCCTAATCTAATAACAGACATCCCCAAGCACGTATGATGTAATCTTTTCAGAGGAGATGATTGTATACATCACAAATATCACATTGTAATACATGTAATTGTCAATGAAGAAAATAAGGTAACTGTCTGACTTTACAGATGTGTCTTCACACTGTCCTCTGTTTGAATTTTACGTCTGTGATTTGAACGTGAGGTAATGAAGGTACTACTAAACACTTAAAACGTCACAAAAGACACCTCCAAGTCTCTGTCCCAGTCAAATTCAAGTTCAAGAACTCATCACGTCCCACTGTTGATCAAACCTTATTGCCCTTGACCTTGTCATAAACGCGATCAGCCCTCCCCTCAGCTCTGGTGCCCTGTAGACTATTTGGCGAGGATCCAGTCTTAAATATGTCCTTGACTGATTGCAAATTGCTCTACTTAACGCATTCCTATCTAGAAGATAAGAACGCACGCACTCATCTACATGTAGGTATCACTGCATTTGTCCCAAATCTCTATCTTATGTATGTTAAGGGTTCTGTTAACGACTTGTGCGGACCCTCGGTCAAACCAACCGCTTGAATGGTAACCTTGAGGATTGAAATATCACCGCATTTACGACGGTAATTTCGGGGCAATGACCGAACGACTGGCCCATGCCTTGGGGTATGTACCTGTTATTTGTCTCGATGACATTTACTGCTATAATTAACTTTCACAGATGAAGCAAAACTTTTCTACGACAATATCACGGTTACTAGCCCAAATTATCACAGTGTCTGCTATTAAAGATGACAAGGGTTGAATATATAAGACTACTAAAAAAGACTACTCCATGTGTTGATCCTTTCTTCTGAGGTAACACCGTTTTTGTGGCGCCTCAAAGATTCAATTTTGATGCATTGTGCGGGGTCATTCTTGTGAGAACGTGACTGAACAAACCGGTTTTCTGCCAGAAAATGCCCAAACCGTGCGCATGCGGCCAGAGTATTTTTCGACCACGAAATCAGCTTCACTTGGTTGGTCTCTGTCAGCCAGGTTGTAGAATGTTCTGTGGAAGAAAAGCCGATGGTCTTCAGCGGTGACTTAGACCTGATCCCCGGTCAAGCCAATCCGTGACACTGGTAAGTACTAACATTAACACGTACACAGACTTAGGGAACGTGGCTAGAGGCCAAATTACAGTACGTACACTACTAGTTTACCTTACCGAGTTCAGGAGCCAGTAGTGCCAGGACTGAGTTGGGTTAAAATGTCCATCTTTGTTCTTTAAGAATACCTAATTTCACAGGAAATATGTTAAGTCAGCAGGCTATTGACAGAAATAGTTAAATTTTTCTCGGTTGTTAAATTTAGAATCTGAAAGAGACAGAAAGACGCGTGTTACTAGTAGTTTGTGTTGACAGTACATAGTACATCTTGAGGAATTCTATAGCAGGCAGGAATGTTGGGTTGGGTACTTCAATTGTTGTCTAAACTTCTTACACTCCTTGATGTGTCAGATAGAAAACAAATCTGAATAATAAAAAGAACATTCCTCGAAGTCGAGCTAAAAGTATTAACAGGCACACTGATACACATTTATTTTATAGAGTCCAACCGTTGGTGCATTTCTTGGGAAGGGAAGGGGTCGGTTACTGAAATTTGGTGCATGCTTTAACAAGTATTTCGTTGTCTCATGTATTGTTTTGTGAAGGTTTTGGGGCCGAAGCATAGGTTTTGTTTTAGAGAGGTACAATATTTGTGATCAAGTGGAATAATTCACTACAAAATCCCTTTATTGTAGTGTGGTTACAAAAATCTAGTATGTGAATTCTGCTTGCTTGTGTATGGAGTGGGGTTATATCATGATAAATTATTCATAAGTTTGTATCTGACTACACAGTTCTTCTTTCCATTGAAAGCGAAACAGCAGCTGATACTTCCAAAGTTTTCAGTGGTCGTAAAAAATACGTAAGTGCAACTAATGGTGGCAAAATGCCAGTTAAAAAGGTGACCTTTTAATTTAAGCAAATTACCTGTACAAAATCTACACCAACTAGGTGTGCTGATGTTCCTGTGGCTTTGTTTGGATAATGTGTCTCTTTGTCAGCCAAATGTCAGATATACTAACACCAAAATGTATATACGTTAGTTTTGAAACCCTAACTACACTCTTCGCCGAACAAGACTACTACATTTGTTATCAGCTTGTTTTTTTTTAAGTCCTCGCAGCAAGTTTTTCTAGTTAATATCTTAGGTCAATGATTTTTTTGGGATAATTTGTCTCTTTGTCAGACAAATGTCAGATATACTAACACCAAAATGTATATACGTTAGTTTTGAAACCCTAACTACACTCTTCGCCGATTACAATGGGGTGAACAAGACTACAACATTTCAGCTTGTTTTCTTTTTTAAGCCCTCGCAACAAAAATGTTCTTTCGTTCTCAAAGATAAGTTTTTCACTTGTCTAGTTAATGTCTTAGGTCAAGGATTTTGTTTGGATAATTTGTTTCTTTGTCAGGCAAATGTCAGATATACTAACACCGAAATGTCAGTGTTGAAACCTTAACCACACTCCTCGCCGACTACAAAGGAGCGACCAAGACTGTACATTTGTCATCAAATGTGTTTGTTTTCTTTTTAAGTCTTCGCAGCAAAAATGTTATTTCGTTCTCAAATATAAGTTTTAAATTTCCACTTGTCTAGTTGATATCTGAGGCCAAGGATTTTGTAAGCCTGTGGGCCCTTCTTTTTGATAAAATATCATACCATCTTAGAAACACAATAAAACAGCTCGATTACAAAGCAAAAAAAAAAAAGAATAATGTTGTTTTGTTCTTGTTTCGTTTTGATAACCAAATTAGAAATTGACACCCTTTCTAGAGGCTATGTATGGACTATCATCCTTTCAATGTGTCGTGATATTAACAGACTTTGACTAGCATTTCACACTGAATTTGCCACTTGTTGTCCATTCCAAGTGCAGTAGAAACTGCCATTGTCGTTGGTTTAGTATTTTTAGAGAAAGGGCGGCTTAAATGAAGGGATTTGTTGAACGGGTCACCTGAAAACTAAATGACCCGTGCAGTTTTGATTACTCTGCCGTGACTCGAGCCTTTTCGTGTGTGTGTTTTGAGATACAAATAACAAAGATGAATATCATTTCGTCCTACATATACTTTAGATAGACAAAAATTAATGAAAATGATCACATGTGAAACTGGTAAACCTCTCCCAAAGACAAACATAGACATTTTCAATTTACTTATGTCGTGCCCCGACTCCATATCTACGTACCTAGGCCAATATATATGTAGTGCATTACAAAAGAGAGAAAGTATTGTAACAGATAGTAACGCCTAACTCACATCATGTCATACGCCATTTACGTTCATATTCCTGTAGTAATACTAGTAGTCTCTTAGAATAGACTTGATTGTATTGATCACATTGTTATTGATGCCATACATTGTACCATGTACAACTGTCGAGCAATAAAGTTCAATAACTACAAACTGTGCGTATCTATGGTGTTAAAAGCCTAATATGGACCAATAACAAATAACACATCTTGAAAGTTCATCTGTGTTGGTAGAGGTCATTGTGAAGCAAGTTTAAACTGTAATTTCCAACACAAGAAATTGGAGTCACCCAAATTTTCGACTGTACAACCCCAGTCTTTGTCAAGGAATGAACAATCCACCGCTTCTGTCAAAGACTGGAGTTGTATAGTCGAAAATTTGGGTGAGTCCAATTTCTTGTGTTGGAAATTACAGTTTAAACTTGCTGCATAACAAATAACACAAATAACTACAAACTGTGCGTATACATGGTGTAGGAAGTCTTTTACTGGAAGAGAGGAGGAAGTGACAAAACTTCCTGTAACACGTCATGATTTGTAACACCTGTTACTAAATGTTACGGGTATTATTCATCAGGTATAACAAGCTTATTGTATCAAGGCATTCTACGTATTCCAATTCTAGTTACTTCTTTCGTTCGTGTTAACCCATGGTATGAAAATAATAACAAAATATACTGGTATATCTACACGAAATGTTACAATGAAAGTACAAGAACTCTATTGTGTTCTGGATATGAAAAGTACAAATGTACTAGATGTATGCAAACAACCTTTGCTAAATACCGAGTAATTATGTTGTTCAATATCATACATATAACAGTTTCACACAGTTTAACGTTACTGTACTTCGTACTTATGAAGACAGCAAAGTTTAAACCGAGCAGGGAATGCCTAAGCTTTGTTTTGAGATCATCGATCTTTCTTTCATGCAAATGTAAAACATGTAATTAATGTTAGCCGGTTGTCTGCCCCAAATCTACACTAGTAGAACAAGTCACTATGCAGTCGAACGAAGAAAAACAAAATTTGTGACTTAGGGTTTCTTTCAAACACTAGAAAGTGTTGGTATTTTCGCTATATTTACCATTTTCTCAGTACTCTTAAACAGAATCCAACACTATATATTTTAGGTAGGAAACACATTTGAAACCTAATTGGAGGTATACAATGTATAGTTCTCAGTGTGAAAAATGAAATGTTTCATTCTGTCCACGAGTGGAAAAGTGAACAATGTTCTAAGTACACTAAATCTATGCGAAAACTCAATAGCATTCGCAAATAGCACTTCTATAAATACAACTATTAACCTCATTTTTGCGTTCCAGTGTCTGTCAACTAAGTACTATTAATAGAAAAGCTTCATAAAAACTCAACTCAATCAGTTCGACATTAGTCAAACAATTGTGAGAAAACCACAGAACATTTCTACATTAGAAAAATAAGTTAGATACAAAAGGTTGGTTTACGCCATTGTAGATGTCGAATGACGTACCCAGCACTTCGAGGGACGTCACAACACGAACAAATGCCCGAAGGGACATTGCCCAGTCATTAACTACGGTTCACAAGAGCACAGGGTATACATTTATTCGTGTAATAGCGTGTAACCTACGTATACACTGTACAAATTCACGTCTTTAAACTACTAGTACTAAGGAAGCTGAACTACCATAAGATCGTTGCTGAAGTTGTACCATTTATTCCAATATGCTCCATAGTAACTGTTCTTATCATGAGGTCATCTATTGGACAGGATTGTTCACCAGAATAGATTGAATCAGTCCTCTTATTTACCGGAATACACTGGAATGCAAAGGGGTAAGATCTATATAGATACAATTTGTTTTGAAGAGTGAACATTGTAGGTAAATACTACATATTTTGACAAGGAGTCATGTAAAAGTTGTCGAAAGTTATAAGGAGTGTTATGATATTTCTACAGATCTCGTATCTCAATATAGTATTGTGGAGTTTAATAGAAAGATGTGTTTTATATGATTTTCAACATTATTTTTTCAGACTGGTAACTGCACAGCTGTAAAAGAGCCATTTACTGATGTCATATCAGGTCACCAAGATTGAGCAGGATTCGGGATGATCCACAGTTCATCTTGTACCTGAAGCAAGTTTTGATGAACTAGTAGACTGAGTTGTGCCTATTCCTACCTTCACTGTTAGCACAACCTGGGGTTTTCGTGCCTAATCTGAAGTTAAACTGTACGGATGAAATAAGTTATCAACGATGCACGTGTGCAGAAGAATCCTCCTCCTCAACCTGAGGAAAATCCTGCTCTTCGTCCTTTTCGTGGGGACGTCCACCTACACGTATCTCGCGGCGACTTTCCCTTACGAGGAACCGACTGACTCGAAGATTCTAAGCCGGATGCTCCAAGATGTCCGAAGCCCCAGGGATAAGAGAGAAGTCATCTCAGAGAAACTCCAAGATCAAAAATCTGTTTCGAAGCTGATCATCAAAGATGTAGAAGTCGAGCAGTCTGATGAAGTAGATCCACTAGAGTATATATTTGGCGGTTTTCAAGACTCGTCTGTGACTACGTCAGCCCGTCCGCGGACAAGCAAGAAACCACCACCAAAGGCAGAAGCGCCGCCAGCGGCTGAGAAGCGAACTGCAGTCATAGTCATGACCCAGATGAGGAGCGGCTCCACGTTCGTGGGTGAGATTTTCAACCAGCATCCTGAAGCCTTCTACTTCTTCGAACCGGTTTGGGCGCTGGAATACAACAAAAACAAAGCCTACAACAGCTCCAAGTGGCAACTGAAACTACTGGAAGGGCTGTCAAAATGCAGGTTTGAACCAATTCGTGACATCATGCAGTTTTACCTCACCACGAAAGAACTGGGCGTGATGAAGACGTGCAAAGCCATAGACAAAATGTGCGACGGCTACAGGAACAAAACGGCGATGTGGCCAGGCAGATGCCCGATCCCTAACGACCAGTTCACGGAAATTCTAGAGATGAATTGCATCAAGAACACCTTCACGGCCATCAAGACCATACGACTGAACGACATCACGCTTTTCAAGCCGCTTACAGAAGATCCTGAGTTGGACTTCAAGATTATCCAGTTAGTTCGAGATCCGCGGGCGATTATTGCGTCAAGACTTGCCCTGGTAAAGAACAACGTTTCCGTCACAAACCAACTGCACGACGACGTCGACAGGACCGAAGTACGAGCTGTCTGCAACTGGATGACGACAAACATGCAACCTTACCGAGAGAAAAGAGAATGGCTGCGCAAGCGGTACGCTTTGGTTCGATATGAAGATGTTGGCTTGGACCCTATCACCACAATGGCCAGATTCTACAGGTTAATAAACATACCAATGTCTAGAGATGTCTCCAAATGGCTCGGCAGTCACACCAAAACGTCCAAAAAACTCAAGGACAGAAAAGATCCGTTCGGAACCAAAAAAGACTCGGAGAAAACCGCGAACGAATGGCGGACACGGTTAAGTTTCCAACAGGTTGAAATCATCCAATCAGAATGCAAGGAAGCGATGACGTTGTTCAACTACAAATTTGTGGAGTCGAATGAAGAACTAAAAGACATATCTGTCAGTCTGTACAAGAAAAGACCGCCTCTACTTTTCTAGATATCTTTTTCTTGTATGTAGGTGTTCTTCAAACGAATATCAGGCGAATTCAAAATGAACCTGTACTTTTCCTTCTGGAACGTGTAGGTGACTTCAAATCATTGGTTGTATATCTGATGTAAAATATGGTAGCAAATATATCCCCATGTATTGTATACCTATCCAGCGTGGCCACGGTCAAAGTTTGTAACCGGCCTGCACGTGTTCAAAGAACACATTTCAATTAGAATTATTGTAAGGAATGTGGAAAGTCAGTAAGTGTATGATATTCAACCAAGAACTTTACCTGAAATATGATAACCAAGTTACTACGTGGGCGAAATAATATATTTTCACAGAACTTACACCGTAGCATCCATATTCACTGTGTCGAATTTAGTTGTCTATTCTTAGTTGTGCGTGTGTGTGTGTATGTGTGTGTGTGTGTGTGTGTGTGTGTGTGTGTGTGTGCGTGCGTGCGTGCGTGCGTGCGTGTGTGTGTGTGTATGTGTGTGTGAGTGCGGCGCGCCGCGCGTGTGTGTGTGTGTGTGTGTGTGTGTGTGTGCGTGCGTGCGTGTGTGTCTGTCTATAACTGTGTACAGTCTGTGTGTTATTTTGATGATTCCCTGACACTGCAATTATTTGTAACTCCCCCGCCTCAGGGAGTGTAGCATTGTTTTGACACTTTGCACTTTAACCTATGACACCTGTTGCATTTCGTAAACAATTTCGTATCCTCAAAAATCGACACCAAATTCCTACCCCAGAAACCTAATACATGTGTAATGGATGTGTTATCATCTTCCACTTGTAATTCAAGAAATATCCTCTCAATCTTAACTTCCATACGTTCCTTCCTACTGCATGTTTACAAACGCGAACTCATGAATGTCACACCTATGATAAATTGTTGAAAAGGTCACCACACGTCCAACCGGTTTACTTGTCTCATTCTTCTCAGTGACGCACGCTCTCATTGAAGGGGACGCTCTCGTGAACTCTCGACAATAAGGACTGAGGGTTTTTCACCGATAAGTTTAATTAAGACTGGCGCGTCAATTAAGACGACCTTCGTTCGGTTTTACAAAGAATCGGTACCCACATATCTCACGTACCATCGCTAGACCAACCCTAGAGCCAGTAGAGGTAAGCAGTTTTCTTACGCTATCGGCAAGGTTATTATGGTATCAGGCAGATTTTAAATTTCTAACTTCCGCCTGACTTAAGCTACCAAGGCACATCCTGCATTCTTCGCATGTAATCCTATCGTCTGGAAAGATGCAGGGAATGAAGGACGGGCCTTTTCTGATCGCAATCTCGTGAATATTTGTTGTTTATACTACGTGCAGGTAGGAGGTATTGTTTAGTAGAATGAGAACAATCCCTCAGGCGATATCATGGCATCTACACGCGTGTCAGAACCGGCCAAATAGTTTTAATTTATTGGTAAGCCATACGAATACGAATCAGGGAAAATAGGCTGTGCTATCGTAATTGTTAATGTTATCCAGTGGTACCTAAGAAACAGTCACAACCACCCTTCACATAGATGCATGCATCGTGTGCTATTATCACAGTCACTGAGTTATTGAAAACCATAGTGTATGGGTATGCTTTGTTGCAGAGAGAGTTTATTCCATGTCAGTGGTCTGTAGACATACAGACGAAGGTTGGCAGTTCTTCAAGGTCAAAATGTGTGCTTTCAACACTGAGTAGGACTTGGACAACATCATTTGGTAGAAACTTGGCCGAAACTGGCCATGCGTGTGAAATGTGTATAGGATTACGAGGTACAATGTAGGGTACTGTGTAGGACACAGTGTTCGTAGTTGACGTGAAATCATGGAAGTGAAAAAAGAGATCAGTGGTAATGAACTGCACATTTTTGTGTTCAAATAGTGAATGACAGACTAAATTTACCATACACTAGTGTGACAATTTATTTCAGCTGTTTTGTTTGTCCGTTGCAGGCCTGCTCTCTACATGACCACATATGGTTGGCAAAGACACCGGCCAGGACTAACATAAGTAACAAGTCGCGAAGAAGTGGAACCACCACAGTGACGAGACTCAGTCTTCCCCATTTCATGTTGATAGGTTCCAATGAGTTTTTAACCTTATTGTTTTCAATCACCATTTGCAAGAAGGACTGAATACAGCAAAACATGCGTTCTTGTAAAGTTAACCTCCTTGGTATTGTTAAAGCAATTCTATTTCTCAATTTAAGAACTATGCTTCTTCTGATTCTTCTGTTTGGATCCGTTGCCTATCTGTATGTCTTGGCGACTCTTCAAGCCATGGGACAAGCTGCAGTTGAGGTTCTGGAAAAGAACGCTGAAGATACAGAAATCCTGGACAAATCAAGTGCGTTGGCGCCCCCAACGGATACAAAACGAACTGCAGTTATAATCATCACTCAAATGAGAAGCGGGTCCACTTTTGTCGGTGAGATTTTCAACCAACATCCAGGCGCATTCTACATCTTCGAACCACTTTGGGCCCTGGAAAACCACAGGAACAAAACTTACAAGAACAACCCAGGAATGCAACTAGAACTTCTGCGGGGAGTTTCTTCTTGTAGATTTGATAAAATAAAGAACATCATGAAGTTTTACCTCACCACGCCAGGCTTGGGTGTGATGAAGACGTGTCAAACAGTTGACAAGATGTGCGATAGATTCCGAGACAAACGTGAAAACGCCACCTGGCCCAAACGATGCCCCATCCCAGACGTAAAGCTTCCAAGCGTTCTGCAAAGAACTTGTGAGGCAAAACAGTTCACGGCGATTAAAACAATCCGTTTGGACGACATAAACCTTCTCCAACCGTTGACAGAACAAACCGATTTGAATTTCAAAATCATTCAGTTGGTCAGAGACCCGCGCGCCGTCATTGCGTCACGACTAAACCTCAGCAAAAAGAACGTTTCCGTTATGACTGTCCTTCACAGCAAGGTCGACAAGGAGGAAGTAAAGCAGCTATGTGATTGGATGATCAAAACTGTGGAGCCTTTCAAAAACAGCACCGATTGGTTACGAGAAAGATTCGCGATGCTTCGATACGAGGATGTCGGTATGCACCCAATAACTACCATGGAGAAACTGTACAATTTTATCGGCGTGCCTGCAAAAACCGAAGTCTCCAAATGGCTTGAGAGCCACGTGCACGCCGCGAAAAAGAGAAAGGACAGAGAAAATCCATTTGGAACTAAGAAAGACCCGGTAAAGAGTTCAAACGAGTGGAGGTCTCGACTTAGTATCTATCAAGTACACACTATACAGTCTAATTGTAAGAAGGCATTGGAGCTATTTCATTATCCATGGGTCAAAACAAAAGAAGAGCTTAGAGATCCTTCTCTTAACCTTTACAAAGATCGGTATTCTTTGATTCCCTAACTGCTAAAATTCCCTAAAAGAAATGTAATCCAGACTTTCACTGTGGTTCAGCTATGTCAGTAAAGGAGCAAAGATGTTAAGTATATAACAGTCATAACTAGGTCCAAGCTACTGTATATGACGTTCAGAAATGCCTCTGCACCTCAGGCGTCGCCAAAAAAATAGGCCTGTGTATGCATGTAGCATGCATGTATGCATGTAGCATATGTTATGTACAGTAAGATATCTTTATCAAACCAATGTTGACTTAAATGAATTCATTGCGTTAATATTTACTTCAAGAATGTTCTCAAATTAGGTCTTTTTTAATTGTATCTCACATTATTTACAGTGTACAATGCTTGGTGTCTGTGTATAAATTTGCCGTTATATAATTTACATTCCTTTAATATCAACAAAAAGCCACGAAAGTTGTATACATAGGTTATGTACATGTGTTGAAGGAAAGACATGAAACATTGATAAACACGAATTGTCCTGCTTTTCATTCATTCCCACAGACATCCACTCCAAACAATACAACAAAAGGCGATATACTTAAATAGAGCATTTCTGTGCTCTCATGTTATTTTTCAGACCATTCACTTGAGCACTAAAACCCCTGCCTGTAGTGACCACTTGTCTACTGTGGCCATTCTCTTCTAATTCACAAGGTTTAATTACTATGGCAACATATATTCCAGTGATTGCATGTTCCATACATGTAGTGTTACAAAGCATTCAAACATGGCCATGATCAGCACATCTATACATGAACTGTCATCTATATATTTTGCCCTTATCAGCTCTAAGTTCACTATTTCTACCTTCCGCTCTGTTTTCTTATTCCTTTTGAATTGCCAACCATTGATTCTATTAAAGTATCCATTTGAGTGACACATATAGGTCGTAATATGTTACTGGGAGAACCTATAGCATTTCAAAATGTCCTAAAGCGGCTTAGATACAATGAAGCTGAGCAATAAATATGATACTAGAGAACTATAGATGTTCTTATATCGTAAAGATCGACAGATTTGTTACTCATTTGCTTTGCGGAAATAACGTCTTTGTAACCAAACATGGACATGGCTTCCTGACATTGGGACTGTATCAGTTTAACTTCATCTAACGTCAATTTCAGCCGCCACTGGTTGCACGCCTGTACGGGGTCTTTGATGGTTCCAAATGGGTCGTTTCTATCTCTCTTCCTCTTTGCTGTTTTGGTGTGTGCTTTGATCCATTCTGAGATGTTTGCCTGTGGTTTAACGCCGATGAAGTTGTATAATTTGTCCATCATGTCCAGAGGTTGTAGGCCAACATCTTCGTACCGTACCAAAGCGTACCGGCCCCGAACCCAGCTCTCTTCGGTCTTGTAGGGCTGTGCGTTCCGCACCATGCTGTCACAGAGTTCCCGTACTTCTTCCCTGTCCACTTTGGTGTTCAGAGTCGACTGTAGGAGAGAGACGTTCTTCCGACTCAAAGCGATTCGTGAAGATATGACTCCTCTTGGGTCTCTCACCAGTTGGATAATCTTAAAGTCCAACTCCCTGTCTTGTAGTAGTGGTTGTAGATGCGTCACATCGTCCAGTCGTATTGTTTTTATTGCCGTGAATTGTTTTGATTCGCAAGTAGACCTCAGGACGTTTGGTAGCAAGTTAGGCGGTACTGGACATCTCTGAGCCACTGTGATCTTTCCTTTCGTTTGGTTTCTATACCTTGCACACATATTGTCTATTGTTTTACAAGTTTTATAAACTCCCATGCCTTTAGTTGTGAGGTAATATCTCATGATGTCCCGAATGTCACCAAATTTACATGATGATATTCCTTTTAGGAATGCGACTTTCATTTCTAGAGCGTTGCTGTAAGTTTTGTTTGCATAATTCTCAACGGCCCAAAACGGTTCGAAGACGTAGAAGGCGTCAGAGTGTTGGTTGAACAGTTCTCCAACGAACGTCGATCCACTTCGCATTGGAGCGACTATTACGACTGCAGTTCGCCTGTGAGCCGCTGGGAATGCTGGTGTTCCTGATTTCTGCTCCGACGGTTCGCTCACAAGTTCAGACAGATCTCGTGCCTTAGTTTGCTCATCTTGTACCAGACATTTAAGAGTCAACGAAAGGTACAAGTAACTCGAAGACGCAAGGAACAAGACTATTAGCAACAGTCTTCTAGGATTACGAAATAGCAATTTCCTTATCATATTTCAAGAAGTGCAACTGTTATATATGAGCAAATTTTCTGATAGATATCTGAATTTTTTGTAGGTTGTAGCGAAAGAATCTTCAATTGTGGATGCGTCTTCCTACACCTGAAAAAGGCAGAGTGAAAGAGTTTTACAAACGCGTGGGAAAAGCTTAAATTTCTGCATTAATGACAGAACGTTGCTCTGACATTTACAATGCTAGTACTAGTGCTGGCTGTGACCTCATTCGACGCGAGGACACGTCATACATGACGTCACAAATGACGCCATCTTGAACTTAGACAATGTTCATTTGAATCTTGTCCTGGATAAACCTTTCGAAGATCAGTCACACTCACCAATTACTAGTAAATTGCCTACTTATATACAAAGTACACATTGCAGTTCAACCATAACATTACATATCAAAACAAACAAACAAACAAGCATGTCTTTGATTAAAACTTTAAGGTCGCAACAAGTGGCATTAAAGGTCATTAATTTAAAAACATTGTCAGACAAGCAATGCAAATACAAAATGGCCGGGCGATACGAAATAGCACATCCGATTTTACATGGTAATTCCCTACAAACCTACAGCTAGGAGAACCTCTTACCTTTGCAGATAGAACCGTGAAAATCTTGTTAACAGGCAGGTAGCTGTTACATTATACTAGACTATTTCTGAATCAGGTGCGCCAACAGCTCGACATGCCCTCACCGGAAGTACGTCATCACTAGAAAAACCGGTCTACCATGCCATGTGTCTAGACCCAAGTGTTGATGACAACAATAATGTTACCTTTTAATCGCGCAGACGACGGGAGAGTGGTGTCTGGTTCGGTCAACAAAATCTTATACTAGTATTGTGAATGCAGTAAACTGGTTCACCCCTGCTCGAGTGCACACGAAGGGGACCGTCCGTTGTTGGCGTGTCTGGGTCGTCCATTGCACCACTCAACTTCAAGCAGATGTAGGGTTCGGCTCTGTGTTTCACACATGTGAGGCTTTTGTGTACTATTTGGAATATCAGGGCATAGTACACTTGAACCTTTGACCTCTCCAAACCGATCTGGGAGGCTCGTCATCATCATCATCATTATGGTATCCTGATTACCCAGATATGAACCATAACATATCGTATAACCGCTTGTCGATCTAATACGCCACAGAATTACCTGTAAATGATGTGATAACTCCCTTCTTTATTCCTATAAGAGGTCTTGGTGTAGTATGGGCGGCCTGTGTGGTTGTTAGCGTCACTTCTGGGGCACTGTATCTGTGTAAATCAACGAGTAATAGTGTTCAATAATGAGACATGTTATAAAACAAACAAACAAACAAGCAAACGAACCAGTTGTCTGAGCGTTTTCCTATCAATTCTTAATGGCTACAAAATTCCTACGGCCCCACCAGGCAGTTGTATAGGATAGGGTAGTTGTGGAAAGGGTCTAAAATACAACAAGCAAACAAACAAACAATGAACTAACCAGCATCGAAAATCTGGCGTCAGTTACGGTGTTGCTGGAAGCGACCCCTATTATCCGTGTTAAAAAGTGCACCCTCCAGTTGGCACCGCATGGATCAAAAGCGCCCTAGAAGCACCTATCAATTTTCATCGGTATTGCAGGACAATAAAATATGCACTCTAGAACAGGTGGACGTGCGTGCGTTTGCGTTGTAGTTTTGAACAAGTTTTATGATATTCGTGTATTTCGTGAGCCATTTAATAGTTGCCATAAGTATATATTAGTCAGTGGCGAGGAGCGCTGGCCACATTTGGACGTTTAGTTCCAAATTTCGCGCTGTAAAAGCTTATTAGGGGGAGGGGGGCATGACGCAATCACGCAACCACATGTGTTAGTGACTCGTTCCCAGGTTTCGACTTCAGGGGCTAAAATAGAGATTTACCGAATCCCGGTATAGTGGAATATTTCGCTAACAATCACCCCTTGCACACCCCTCTTCTTGCTCGTAAGTTTACATTGTTCCGATTCTTATAGATTTAATTTTCTTTTGGACAATATACGAGATCTTGATCGTCCTACGACAGAAGTACGAAGAAGTGCAGTACGCAATCATCCCCTATGTGAGACTCCTTCGAAACTCCTTTGTTTTTATGCTAAAAGAAACCTAGAGTAACATGTAAACAAACATGGCGGCCCGGTTGTGTTTGGTGCGCGACACGGTAGAATTGGTCGCGTTGTGGAGTATTTAGCGGGATTTGAAGAACACCGACCCTCCGTACACTGAGTTGACAGAGCAGACAAGCATAAGGGGCAACCATAACTTGGGGTGAAAACAGATATAATCACGCAGACGAATTGTACAGCAGTACAGTGGTAGAAAATACGATTTGCATATGAATCACTGCACTCGAGCTCGAGGTAAACAATGCTAGACCATGCACAAGCGACCTCTAGTGATTTATCACACTCTGTAGGGTTTCTCTGCTCCGGGCCTCTTGATCAGCACCAAGGTCAGCACCAGGAATAGGCTTGACCGTGCGGCTTTTCAGAAAGATCTCGTAGCCTGGAACAGCCTGATTTTGCGGCGATATTCAGAAGGATCGAATGTTAACTGACCGTGGCGCACTCAAAGGGGACTGATAGCCTTGTACAGGCTTGGCCGTGAGATCATATAAAATGAAGTGATAGCCAGTATCAGCTGACTCAGCCATACACTTCGTAGCAACATTCCCGAAAACACCGCCGAAATTGCGGTTTCCTGTTATGGTTTGCCGTCCTATAATTTTAGCTGAAATTTAGTTGTTATGATTAATATCGCTATTGTTAGAATTAATTAGTGTTAGAGTATGAAATAGTCGTTCCCTTGACTGCAAAACGTCCTGACGTCGGCGAAACGTCAGGACGAAACCTGACCTATGGACAGTGTAGCAGTGGCCTCTGGCGATTTGTCTCGAAACTGCAGGGTCACTTTTACCTATGGCTGACGTAACTATGACGTAGTAACTGATTAGCCCCCCCCCCTCCCCCTAATAAGTTTTTACGGCGCGAAATTAAACGTCCAAGTGTGGACAGCGCTCCTCGCCACTGACTAATATATGCTTATGGCAACTATTAAATGGCTCACGAAAGACACTAATATCATAAAAGTTATTCAAAACTACAACGCGCACGCCCACCACCTGTTCTGGAGTGCATATTTTATTGTCCTGCAATATCGATGAAAATTGATAGGTGCTTGTATGGCGCTTTTGATCCATGCGGTGCCAACTGGAGGGTGCACTTTTTAACACGGATAATAGGGGTCGCTTCCAGCAACACCGTAACTGACGCCAGATTTTCGATGCCGGTTTAGTGCATTGTTTGTTTGTTTGCTTGTTGTATTTTAGACCCTTTCCACAACTACCCTATCCTATACAACTGCCTGGTGGGGTCGTAGGAATTTTGTAGCCATCAAGAATTGGTAGGAAAACGCTCAGACAACTGGTTCGTTTGCTTGTTTGTTTTATAACATCTCCCATTATTGAACACTATTACTCGTTGATTTACACAGATACAGTGCCCCAGAAGTGACGCTAACAGCCACACAGGCCGACCATACTACACCAAGACCTCTTATAGGAATAAAGAAGGGAGTTATCACATCATGATATTGTACAGGTACTTCTATGGCGCATTAGATCGACAAGCGGTTATACGATATGTTATGGTTTATATCTGGGTAATCAGGATACCATAATGATGATGATGATTACGAGCCTCCCAGATCGGTTTGGAGAGGTCAAAGGTTCAAGCGTACTATGCCCTGATATTCCAAATACTAGTAGTACACAAACCGGAAAGTACTAGTACAATTAGACATTTACCTTGGCAAAGCATGGTTATGGTCAGGTGAGCTCTCAAAAGGTGAGTATTGGGTTTTGAGCTACGTTTTCATAGGATTTTCACATTCAAGCCTGTACAAGAGAGGCCGAAACTGGAGTTCTACAGTATCAAAGAGGTCAACTTGAAAAAGATATAACGTTAACGTTACTAATATGTAAAAGGTGTGAAACTATTAAAGATTTATATTTAATCTTTCTGTGCCATGGTGCCACCTGTTGTTTTAAACGCGTAGCGCCCAACAATACAGTGCCAACAATAGTCCTGCTATACACATTATAGTATACAATAGACGTTGTAAAGACGTGGCCTAACACGTGTGAAACACAGAGCCGAACACTACGTCTGCTTAGAGTTTAGTCGAGCGGTGCAATGGACGACCCAGACACGCCAACAACGGACGGTCCCCTTCGTGTGCACTCATGCGGGGGTGAACCAACCGGTCTCCGGAGAGGGGTTGACCTAACCCGGAAGTAAAGCATTGACCATTATCTTCTGTGCCGATCTTTGGACTGGGGTCAGAAGGGAAAACTGCAGGTATGAAGCGTTACTTTCTACGTTCTTAAAGAGGTAAATACTGCATGTACAGCCTTATTCGCTGTCTTGTACATTGTACTTCATGGAGTTCAACTACATGTACGCTCAACTGGTCAGTAAAGTGTGTGGAAGTGAACTATAGTATAAAAGGCTAGGTGAACAAAATTAACGTTTACTACTAAAGTGCTGGTCTAAAGTAGATGCAAGTCAATCATATCAATCATACTTTAAATCAATGAGAAAACGTACTATTATAATAGCCTTCTTCTCCAAGATAGGACTTTCATACTTTGGAAAGTCTTTGGACTGAGCTTATTTGTGCAGAGAAAATCATTAGCTGACATTTTGATTTATGCAAATAACAACCTAATTTGCAGTATCAATTAGAGTCACCATTATACAATTAATTCATCAGTTATAAAGGTTAAGATCATTGGACAAAAGTATAAGATCACAAATCTTTAATTTAGTAGTAGTTTTTCATTTCATTTGACAGGTCAGAAAACTGAGGCCTGAGGCCAGAACTGACAGCATGGATCCATTAACAGAAGTCAGCTCTGAGGCATTTCTGAACAGAAAAGTCCTCCACCATCCACACAACCATGCAGACACCGACGGTACCAAAACTTCACACTTCTCTGTCGTGTCCTACAACATCCTCGCCGACTGCCACGTCTCCCCACAATCCTATCCGTACTGTCCCAAAGAATGTCTCCCAATGTCCGCACGCGAGAAACAACTAGACACAGAGTTACGCTACCTTAACGGTGACATCGTGTGTCTACAAGAAGTCGGAACAACCTACTTCCAAGAAAACCTCTTGCCCTTGATGCAGAAGCAAGGCTACGATGGCTACAGGTTTAAAGAAAAAGTTCTCGGGACTCCAGAAGGAATTGCGATGTTCTTTCGGACTTCTAGGTTTAGTGTAGTTGATTTCACTGCGTTTGACTTCAATTCCAAGTTCAAAGAACTTATCAAGAGGTACGTGGGAGAGTCCGAGAGAGATTATGTCTACAAGTACTTGGAGAAGACCAGTGTGATGATGATGTGCAGGCTGAGGTGTAAGGTGACAGGTCGTGTGGTGACTGTGGGGACGTTCCACGTGATCTGGTGGTTGGGACTGATCCCCAGCGCCCCCCAGCATGTGGAGGTGGATGTGCAGTCTCTGCAGGTAACTCAGATCAGTATACACAAGGAGGTTGAATATTTAACCTCCTTGGTATACACTATACAGTAGTCTAACCATTAAAGTAATACTAGTACGTACTTCTTACCATACTGTATAATAGTGTATTTTCTTCTTATAGAAAACAGAGAACTAAGAAGAAAGGGGGTGCAAAAGCTACGAACAGTTCCAAACAAGACTACCATGTAAACTGTTGCCCCCTGTCAAACACATGGAATCCAAAAACTACACTCAAAGTGAAGGTAGTAGTTATATCTTTGACTGAATACAGCTCTGCAGGTATAAATCATACTATCATGAAAGTTTATCTCTCTGTTGGTTAAGACTTATGATCCAACACAAAGAAGTTACTGGTCTAAAGCTCTGAGTGAGGAAATTTTTTTGTGTTGGATCAAAATTCTTAACAGGTATAAATCATGTTTTTTAATGAGGACTGTTATTTTCTGAAGATCTCAGTAGCCATGGCTGAGCTGGTGCAGTTTGCAGGCGGTACAGACCAGCCCCACATCCTGTGTGGAGACTTTAACTCCTCCCCCTTCAGCCCGGCGTACGGCATCCTCACCAGGGGTCACCTGGCCGGGGGAGGGTACGAGATGTTCCACGCTCTACGACCATTCAAGGTGTCTGACAACGAGGTGGGTTTATTACCTACATGAAAATGTAGGCATTGTTTGTGTGTGTGTGTGTGTGTGTGTGTCACTGTGTGTGTTTTTCTGCATATTTGTGGTCAGCATAACTAAGAAGGCCAGCATAACTTTATGGATTGTGATGATATTTGGTATGCTGGTAGATCTTAGGACCACAAAGGTCAAGGTCAAATGTGGGCCTCCTGGTGTCCCACCTTGGTACTGCAGCACCGCTTCTGGTATTCATATCTTTTGTTCTGGACTTGCTACAATGTATGGTCTTGATTTTATCGTGGAAAGTACCGGGGTATTTTTTTGTGTCAGGAACAAATAGTGTGGGTTTGGTACCCCAAGCACCAGTACACCACGCCACAGCACCCTCTCGGCTGTAGTGATAAAAAATATACCTTGGCTGCTATTTTCTGCTACAAGGTTTGATTGAAACTTAACTGATTTTGTTTTCCTTTTATCCAGAGTAAGTGTCTGATCGACCTGTTGCCATCCAGCCTGTACTCACATCCATCCAAGTCTCTCAAAAGTGCCTATGCTGAAGTCAAGGTACAGTTTTGGGTTCGTTGGACTGTAACATACTAGTACACATATTTTGTTCCTACTCAGAGGATTATATTCTAAGACAGCAATTAGTCAAGTACATGTATATATTTTGTTGACTTTGTTCAATGTTTTAGGTTCTTCAAGGTTTTGACATTTGTAAACAGAATTTAGAACATGCAAACCACCACCAAGAGATTATTTTCAGTCAAAGAATGAAAAATGTTTCAAAATGTCTCAAATGGATAGACCGTTGTCATGATTATGATGGTGTAGAAACTTCAAAATACATGTACATGTAATGTCAGATGCTTTCCAGAATTTAAACCTTGAAGTTGTCAGTTTTAATCAATAACCCACATCAAGGAATGGTTTCCTTCCATAGGGAAAAGAGCCGGACTTCACAAACTACATGGATTCATTTGTGGAGTGTCTGGACTATATCTGGTACAGCTCAGACAGCGTGCGAGTGACAGCAGTGCTGGACATGGTACCTGAGTCAGCCATCACACCTCTCACAGCATGTCCCAACAAGGTCTTCCCTTCTGACCACCTCTCCCTCAAGGCTGTGTTTCAACTCACAGACCTGTAACATGTAACATCCGTGTCCATAATATCACCAGGGTCCATAATATCGCCACCTTCAGAAATAGTGTGCTTAAAGATATTTTCACTGCAACATTCCCTAGGTATGTACATTTGATGTGTGAAGGAGTGCATACCAAAGGTATGTTGCAGTAAAAATATCTTTAAGCACACTGTTTCTCAAGGTGGCGATATTATGGACCCTGGTGGTATTATGGACACGGATGTTAGGCACCCAATGCAATTTTAGGGTGGCAAAAAACTGTCAATTTTCTGGTCTTAAAAGTTACTAAGGGCTAACACACTAAAAAAAAGTATGGGAATGATTTTAACAAATCTTATCACGTGATTTAGGGCATTTTTGCCCTTTAATATACTTTTGGAGGTTTTATGAAAAAAATATTTTATTAGAGTTTTATTAGATAAAGAGAATTTTTATATGTAGTCAAAGCTGTGTTTCAACTGATCACAGACCAGCAACATTAAGATGCATTATTTCAATTTGATCATGGATTTTGGTGTGCATTGAATTTTATTTTTAAAGCAGGAAATAGTGCTGATTTTTTACAGCTAACAGTTACCAAACTACAAGATTAAGATCACTCACACACTCACTATCCTGGCTTAGATAATACTGCTGAAGGGGAGATTTAGATCCATAATATTTATGTTATGGATCTTGTTATGCATTGAATGTTGCTGCTTTTTACAGTAGCATTTTTTCAAAGTTACTTGTCAGAATTTTCGACTCACAGACCTGCAACATTATGGTCCATCTTGGTGTGCACTGAACTTTCTTTTTAAAGACTAAGAAATGTTGCTACTTTTTACAGCTAACATTTTAAAAAAGTTTTCAAAAGAATTTTAAACTGAATATCGTGTAATTAAACCAGCTGTAGTGCTTGAACAGCAGCGTGGTCTAAGGGCTATTACACACTAAAAAGTGTGGGAATGATCTTAACTAATTCAACCACGTAATTTAGGGCATTTTGCCCTTCAGTATGATATCAGATATGTATATATTTTATGGAAAGTGAAAAAAAATAACAATAGACTGGATAAAGAGGATTTTATAAATGTAAAGCTAAACTGAAGGCAGAGTAGAATAGAATCTTACATAGTGACCCCAGTGTAGCAAGCTGGAATATGCCACTAGCCAGAATGTACCCCGAGAGCACATTCTGGCAAGGGGTAGAGTCTTGCCTGCTACACAGGGTCCAACACTGTAAGATGAGAAGGGCAGGGCGGTACAAACGTAATGCTGTATAAAGGTCATCTCTGAGATATGCCAATCATGTTGTGATGAGTCTCAGATTTCTGAGTATCAGGATGACAGTAGAATTCTACACATTGTGTAGAATCTGTTGTGAAACTTGTCCTTTGTATTTGCATGTCGGGCTGTTGTTTAACATTGCTGGGGTGATCTCTTCCTTCCAGTTTTACGTGACAAGTGTACTGCCATCTTGGTGTCCCTATTTGCATTTCAGTGAATTGAAGCTCAAGCTTTTTCGTACATAGACATAATAGACATAGACATTCGTGTATAATAAGGTAGTCTCCACCAGACTCCTTTTCAGGCTGAATAAGTAGTAGAAATTAGCCTGCAAGCAAATTGGACTCACTGTGGCTGGCCAACTCCCCTGGCCAGCTACATTCTTTTTAGGCGCATTTCTACTATTTATTCAGCCTGCAAAGGAGTCTGGTGGAGACTACCTTATATGTACGAATATATGTAAATATCCATGTAAGGACTTTCTGACCTTCTAAAATAACGGCTAATAGATTTTTTCAGCACAATTAAAAGAATACCAGTAGATTACTTGAGACTATTTTATATAATGAACATATTTTACATAGTAAACATCTATGTAACTTTTTAATTCCTTACAATTTCCAGTTACCAGCAGGATATTTGATGCGACCAATCTCTTTAGTCACGGAGAAGGAAATTATGAAAAAAAAATGTGTAAAACCATGCAAAATTCTCCAGTATCTACAATATTTCTTGTCCACTAGATCTCTTTCTAAAGACTTTCCACTACCATTTTTTTCTTAGCCTGGTGTCCAGTTTACTGAAGGTTGGACGAGCTCTCTTCAGGACTGTCTATCCAAACCACAATAGACTGGACACCAGGCTATTTTATCATATGATGCCTCACGGCTGTATCTGACTTTCTCATCTTATCAAGCTAGCCAATCAGATCTGCCTCTGGGTATAATCATGAATTTGATTGGCTGTTCGTAGGCATGACGTCACAGAAACTTCTCTGACAAAACTCCAACAAACATGGACCGTTATAACTTCGGTAACTTTACCGACATTTTCGAAGGCACTTCTCAAAGTCTTTCTCTTAAGAAACTGTCTCTCTTTTCTCTCTGTCATGTTCTTGCTCCAGATCTTCTGTCATCTCTCTCCAGTCTTCTTCCATCTGGTGTGTGTCTGTTGGTTGTTCTTTGGTGTGATGATGTGTGCTGGCCTTCCACAGTGTTTTCAGTGGAGGCTCACTTGCGATTCTGGTACGGTGAAGTTACGTACGTTCAGCGGTGCGTGCCTAGAAGGATAAAGGAAGTAATTTTATCAACTCTTTTGTTTTATCACCGTTTGGAAAATAAACAAACAAATAGTACAGTAGCCCATGAAGGTTAGGCATGATGTAGGTAATGAGATACACAAGAAAATTGTTACTCAAGCAACTGAAGTCACAATTCCCTTGTATAAATAATACAGTCTCAGCTAAAACTTTGATCCAGCACAAAAAAGGCCCCGCAAAAAAATGGATTGTTCTACTGCAGTGTGACCAATCACCTACATCACGTGACTTTGTGCACGTCAGTGATTGGTCAAAAGTGTCAGGAAGTCTATATCGCCCCCCGTCCCTTCCACTGCCCTTATTAGGCCTGTCCCATCCCACATCGTCCATTATGACCTTGACCCTGAAGCCTGTCCCAGTCCACCAGTATTATGTGTCCATATCCCGACATACGATACAGATGTTTCCCTTGTAGCTCCCACCCAACTATTGCCCTATAGACACAAAGGTTAACCTCCAATTCTGTGTCCCAAATTCTGTTTGCTACCAGTAGATCGTTATCGCCAAATGGCACTTTGTTTTAAATCATCTTTCAAAAGTATCGCGTCATACTATACAGATGTTTCCTTTGTAGCTCCCAGCCAACTATTGCCCTATAGACACAAAGGTTAACCCCCAAATTCTGTTTGCCATCAGAAGACCGTTATCACCACTTTGGTTTTAAACCCCCATGTCGAGTCATCTTTCAAAAGTATCGCGTCATACGATACAGATGTTTCCTTTGTAGCTCCCACCCAACTATTGCCCTATATAGAGGTTAACCTCCAATTCTGTGTCCCAAATTCTGTTTGTAGGTCTTTATCACCAAATGGCACTTTGTTTTAAACCTCCATGTCGAGTCATCTTTCAAAAGTATCGCGTCATACGATACAGATGTTTCCCTTGTAGCTTCCACTCAAGCATTGCACTGTACATATAAAGGTTAACCTCCAATTCTGTGTCCCAAATTATGTTTGTAGGTCTTTATCACCAAATGGCACTTTGTTTTAAACCCCCATGTCGAGTCATCTTTCAAAAGTATCCCGTCATACGATACAGATGTTTCCCTTGTAGCTCCCAGCCAAGCATTGCCCTGTACACATAAAGGTTAATGTCCAATTCTGTGTCCCAAATTCTGTTTGTAGGTCTTTTAACCATCTTTATCAGCAAATGGCACTTTGGTTTTAAACGCCATGTCGAGTCATCTTTCAAAAGTATCGCATCATACGATACAGATGTTTCCCTTGTAGCCTCCACCCAAGCATTGCGCTATACACATAAAGGTCCAATTCTGTGTCCAAAATTCTGTTTGTGGGTCTTTATCACCAAATGGCACTTTGGTTTTAAACCTCATGTTGAGTCATCTGTCCAACGTTATGGACCACGGCTAACAAACAAGACTTTGCAGATCGGGTATCATCATGTAATGCTTTGAAGTGAAGGATTTCTCAGTGGGGTGGAATTAAAATAGGAAATTGCAGGACCTTTTGGGTGGGGTGGATACAATTTACAACCTACCAGCTGGGATAATCGGAAACTCAAGAGTGTGTTCGTGTTTCAGCCAAGCATACTTTATACGTACAACAATTTATGGAGTCATATTCAATACACGAAGAATTTAATGTTTATACTATGTATACATTGTAAAGCAAAATTGGTCAAAACCAGAAGCAAATTAAATCATCAATGTTACAAGGATGATTCAGTCAGAACGCAAAGATGTATATGATGTAAATGTAATTATTTGATACATTTATTATGCATTTTGCTGAACAAAAAAAATTTCATGATTGAGTATTTGGGTATTCAATTCTGTCCGTTCCTTTGTTTTAGTGTTGTGGATTGAAAAAGAAATGCCCCTTATGGTTTCCCTTAAAATAGGGGTCTCGTATTAAAATACTATACCCAAATCCATATACCACCTTGTATTTTGAAAACGATCCAACCCAGCTCAATACGTACATGAATATACATAATATTAGAAACGTTAAGTGGCGCTTAGCACGAAAGAGCTGATAAAAATTTTATCGTTAGAGCAGAGAGCGCTAAACGCTTTCGCATCTAGTATCGTCAAAACACTCCCATAAACTGACGGCTATTTCTGTCGCGAGTTCGGCTTACCGTTCATCCGTATACATATAAGAACATTCGAGCTTTCTCCAAATGTTTGATACCTTTGTTTATGACATGTCAGCTTTTAACTTCAATCTTCGATGGCCATCGATATCTTATATTAGTTGCTTTCGTTTCATTGTTGCATCATTGGTATGTCAACTTGTAATACCTTAGCGATGTGCCAAAATATACATTGTAAAAGCTTGCAATACCTACATGTTAAGTCCTAGCCATGAGATGGAAAATAAACATAAGATTTTTGGCCTCTAGTAGGCTTCGGAAGCGGCAGGAAAGAGTAGGAATATGCGGCTGTTATATGCCAATTAGACATGGAACATGTCAGGGGAG